AGACCCCATTTCTGGGTAGTTCATGTGTGTTTGTAAGCCATTCCTCTCCTGCAGCTGTTTGCAGTGCTCTGGAAATGTGGCACTCATGCTAGTGTAGATTTGCTGCTAGAAGTACCCGTCATTCTATACTGACTTCTTATAAGTTATGTTGGTATAGGGGTTTATGTAGTGTGTCCATTCCTTTTTTTAATATGGAGTAAATGTGCTGTGTCTAGGCCTTTAGTTCTTTGTGTCATACCATGTCCTGGGCAGAATGAAGCTCAATTTGAGCCCTCCCTATGGTGCGTGCATAGTGATGGGGGAAATGCTGGGCCCTGGCTCCTTCTTAAGTTTCCCAGCAGCAAGCGAAGGATAGAGCAGTTGGCAGGCTAGAGTCATCCCCAATATAATTTCTTGGCTGTCAGCGGGGTTAGACCAAGGATTAATTTGGCCGAGCACTTGCAGCGGCCTTGCAAAGAGCCAGAAAATAATCTCACTTGACATCCTGACAGTGCTTTTCCTTGGTTGCGTTTGGGAGTGCTGTCAACATGGGATGCCAGTAGCACAGCCATGTGCCAGAAACATTGTTGTTTCAGTGCATCCCCCCCAATTATTTGTTACATGTCAGCAACATCTGCAGCTGCCAAACAAAACTCTAGGTCTTATAGGGTAAGAAAAAGGAGATTCCCCCTTGCTGAAAGTTTCTTTCTTCTTTCATACTGTGGGGGCTGGAGGTAGGGGTAGCATCAGTCTGGTTCTGGAACAGCCTCCTGCAGGGATTCTGAATCCCAATGCAAGCTCACTGGAGTTAAGCATCTCATTTAGCACTGTGCTGCAGGCAAGAAAAGCGTTGTACATTTCCTGGGCAAAAATGTAGCACCTCGGGCCCAAATTAACACACCCACTTCCTGTGCAAAGTGAAAATCCCTGCTCATCTCTAGAGGATCGTTTGGATTTTTCTTTTTTAATTTGCCTACAGCTGCAGGCTCCATTTGGAAGCCGAGTCATTAAGAGACAGAAGGGATCTTTCCTGCCGCTATCACATTTCAGCTGGATAGAGCACTAGTGACTCCCTGTCACTTCAGTGTCAAGAAGCCCTGGAGCTGTTGCTGTGCAGGACTTGTCCTATTGAAACTAGCCATGCTTTTGATGGGGTCGTTTCTTTTTTGTACAGTGGAAGCCAATTAGAAGGAAGTCAGTTTGGCTTGCCCCATGGAGCTTGCTCTCAGACAAAGTGTCCCCCCCACTTGGAATTGACTCTGGGACTTATAAGATTGTAAGCTCATGCTGTTTCAGCTGAAGTTGGGTTGCCCTGTCTGTGAGCTCACATGAAGCCCCGTCTCTTGCCTGTTGACATTTAGGGGTCTGGATAAAATAGAACCCAGAAAGGAGACTGGTCCCAATGTGGTTTAATAAAAGACTCCAAACACCAGCTGCTTGCACTGGGCAGAACTAATTGTGCATCTCTCTGCTGCTGCCCCATGCATTTCTATCTACATGGCCACCTGTGCTCAGATTTAATATACCAAGAGGTAGCTCTAAGACACCGTGCTCTCTGTTGACAGTGGCTATCCTCATATGTCTTGTAACCGCAGGTGTTGAGGTGTCCGATGACAACGCCCTGACCTGCCGGCAAGCCCCAAGACACCATCTGTCCACCAGCAGCATCAACCAGGAAGATGATGAGGATATGCAATGCATGATGGGACCCCTGGCAGTCTGACAAGACTCCGCCCTCTCTGGGACTGCGCACTGGATGGAGGGCAAAGCCAGCTACCCAAAACATTTCCCCAACACTAAAGAAATCTGGAGCAACCAATCTGTGGGCATTAACACCTCAAATATGGCAGATGTAGCGATACTGTTATATAAATATATATATAAAAATATATATATATTATTTTTAAATTTAAGCTGCAAGTCTCACCCCTCCTTCCTTTGAACTGTTTCCCTATATTTATGCTAGGACTAACTGGACTCACCTTGATAACAGCAGAAAGGAGGCTGGTTATGTTCATGACCTGTAACTCTCTAATTCAGAGGCCTCTGTCCATGTGTTGCAGCCAAGAACAGTTGGGGTGTTTCCCTTCCCACTCTTCTCCCTGTTCCCTGCTGTGAGCTGGTTGTAAGGTAGGAGGGAACTGATGTCAGCACATGTCCTCCACTGTCTCCTCTTCCCTTCAGCTCTCCTTGGCAGTTGGAGACTCCAGCTTCTTGGCTGGGGTGCCGTGTGGCACTGAATGGGTGCGTGGAGGAGACTTCTCTTTGGTGAGATGACTTCATGGCCTGGAAGATCACCCAACAAGGAAAGAGGCTGAGAGGAATGGGTTGGGAGAAGAGGGTGCCAACAGGAACAAGTGGTGGTTAAGGGAAGAACATTGCTGCATGCCTATCATAGGGGCATGGCAGTGTGGCTGCTTTCTGGGCAGGCTCTCCTGTCTCCATCCATCACATGCCCTAAGGCACCTTCCGTTAGCGTGTGCACCCCTGTGTAGACTGGTTGGTGCGCTCACCCATCTCCATATCACCCGGCGTAGAGTAACCATCTCACTGGCTCAGCTGAGTGCAGACATTCTGCAAGGGTAAGTTCTGCTTGTTATGACTATCTAGAGCTATGCCCCAGGTCCTTTGGGGTCACAGGGAATTTAGCTGTTGACTTCAGTAGGACCAGAATGTGGTGTCTGTGATGAACCATCAATGGGCAAGCTTAGGCACATGGGCCAGGACCCTGTGCTGATGCACATCGACTGGTGCACTTCCAGGGAAGGCTGGTACACCTGTAGATTTGCTGAAGTGTGCTGTGACAGTCCATAAGAGTCCACTCACCTGGTTGCATGTGCACATTCATAATGGCTCATTCCTCTCTCTTGCCTTGCAAGAGGTTCTTGTCCTAACTGGGACCAACTCACAAGATATAAGCTTGAAAACAAGTGCTTTAAACATGGCTGCTGCTGCTGCTTTGGCAGGTTCCAAATGTCTCTTCCATCCCCTGTGCCCTCCTCCCGTTGCTGCAGGGCAGCTGCCAACTTTTTCTTCCCCTTGCAAAACAAAAACAAGCAATAACCTAGCTCCACAGCCTCAGCAAGAGATTAGATGAAGGGTAATTACGGGCTGAGCAGGCTTCCTTCATGATGCATCTAGGAGGGGCACGCATCCAGGAGGGGCCAGCAGGGAATGGCATGCTCAGGGGCAACCAGTACGGGTTCATCAGCAGCAGGTCCTGTCAGACCAACCTGGTGGCCTTTTACGACCAGGTCACTAAATCATTGGATGCAGGGGTGGCAGTGGATATAGTTTTCCTGAACTTCAGGAAGGCTTTTGACACTGTCTCTCACCCCATTCTCATTAGGAAGCTGGGGGACTGTGGCGTAGACACCCATACAGCCCAATGGGTCGCCAACTGGTTAGAGAGTCGCACCCAGAGGGTGGTAGTGGATGGGTCCTTCTCGACCTGGAAGGACGTGGGAAGTGGGGTCCCACAGGGCTC